ATACATTCGAAAGCTAAGTGAAGTAGTGAGATCGTCAATGGAGGTAATACAGAGTGAGAATGATGATAATATTATAACAGATCGAATCAAATACTTAGTCGAAGGTTACGCAGTGTATGAATTGGTATGAACTTACTTTGAAGTAAACTGAATATTCCCATCATGAACTGAGAAAATGATCTGGGCAAAAATGTATTCTCTGTACTTTTTCATAAGTATAACTACTCTTCATTTTGGTGCCAAAAAGAGACGTCGTCAGCACAAGTGATAGGTAGCACACATTAACTACAGTGAAATTACCATCCATTTACCATAGTAATCAGATTCATTGTGTGAAAAACAATGATAGAATGTTCAAGTCATAAAACTTTATAAGCTCAATCAATCCCATTGTTGTAAGAATAAAAGCACCTAGTGTATAGCTGAACAAGTCATCTCATTACTGATCATTTTACAAAACATACGCATTTAACTGATTTCAGGCAAAATGCGGGCGTAAATACAACGATGGGATGTAATTGTCGCTACTCAGTTTGTCATATTGTTTATCTGCGGACACACTAAACTTTCACGAACCATTGCAAGACATTTTTTCATGAGAATTTTTCCCATGCATAATGCGAAAATTTACTTAGCGACAGGACGAACAAATCAATTCGAGTGTTTCTATTCTATTTTGATAACGAAGTTCAAGACATATATAATTCATTCCACCATTTCTACATTTTTATACTTTTGTTATGCTTCATTTTTATTGATGCTAACAAAACTGTCCATTATTTATAAAACCAACTGCTATTTTTATGAATAATATTACGCCTGTATTTTTGCAATACAATCCTGCATAATTATACAATCAAACTGAATTTCTTAAATTACAACTTTTAGTTATTACTTCTTTAAAACCAACTAAAACTAAAAATTCTGTCAATTAATTACTTATCAGCAAAATGGTTGTCTTACTGTTATCAATGAAACCTTTATGGTGATGAAATGTCATGATAAAATGTTAGGAAATACCCTCAGTAAATCTTTTGTTCAAATATATACAGTACAAGTTTTATCAAAACTTATTTCAATTTAATGAACTGTAATGATTGTCGCACAAAGTACTTGTAGAATGGATCTTCGCTGGAGTTAGATAAGATACAATATGTAGAACCCATCAAAACGAATCACAAAACAAGCCCTAACTTGGGATCATTATGGTAATAAAAGAAAGAGACTAAAGGACAAATAGCACCGGAAGTTGGGAATAGATATCAAAAGCATACATAGAACTTAGCAACAAATGAAAAAAATCAGCCCCGGACAACATTGCTTGGAAATATCTGTTCGGTGGTCTATGGCTTAAAAGAGGATAACAGGCTTAAGTAAATAAGTAAGCATCCACGTCGTCTAGAACTAGTTAACGAACACGATAAAAAGATATTAAATAAATAAAAGATTGAGGTAATGTGAATTGCTTTTCGTCGGATGATACATTATATACCAGTACCCATCATAGATGACCATATGCTCATATGGGAAGTAATTACCAAAGCAAAAGTGACATAAACAACCAACGGAGGTTCCGTGGCAGTGTCTGTCATTGAACAGTATACCTCAGAAGTATATCAACAGTAGGAAGGCTATTTACTCGAACACTACCAGTCGAGTCAAAGCTAAAGGCGAACTGTCGTCTAATTTTACAACCTCAAGTGGCGTCCGAAAAGGCTGTCCACTATCTTCACTTTCGTTTAACTTCATCACAGACCTACTGCTGGAAATAACGCTCTCGTCAACTGAATTTTCAGGAATTGATCTTCCAGGAAGTCCATTTATCGACTTAGAATACGCAGATGACATAGTCTTGTTTGGTGAAGACTCTGACAAAATGCAGTGACTTTCGCTAGCACTGAGAAACAATACCAGGATATTTGGAATGCGTTTCCCCTGTTGAAATGCAAGTTGTTGCTCCAGGACTGGCCTGCATCAACACCTGAACTGAGGATAGGGAGTAGAGCAGTCGGACGCGTCGACAACTACACTTATTTTGGAAGTCTGATCAGCCCTAATGGGTTGGTGTCTGACGAAATCTCAGCACGGATTCAAAAAGCTCGTTTGGCTTTTGCCAACTTACGTCACCTATGGCGAAGGCGAGATATCCGTCTATCAATTAAGGGACGAGTATACTGTGCAGCAGTTCGTCCTGTTTCACTTTATGGCTATGGAACGTGGCCATTACAAGTAGAAGACACTCGTAAGTTACTAGTATTTGACTACAGATGCCTTAGAAATATTGCTTGGATCTACTGGGTAAGTAATAGTGTGGTTAGACACAGGGTATTAGGGAATGATGGTAAATCAGTTGATGAGGTTGCAAATCTGCATCGACTGAGATGTTTGGGCCACGTTTTACTCATGTCTGAACTCCGATTACCACGACGCGCAATGCTGACTAGTATAGGGGATGGTTGGAAGAGAGTTAGGGGCGGCCAAACCAAATCGTGGCATCAGTCCATAAAGTCACTAACTTCTGGTCTCAGCCATTTCGATAGATGAAGACTACTTGGTTGGAGCATACGCGATTAATGTAACCAGTGGTTAGAGACTCTATGTGACATGACTCAGAATCGATTACAATGACGTCCGTATATATAGTCGTTGTCTTCCTTTAAACCGTGAGATTAAAATCACTTTATACCTTTCTTTCTACGAACTAATTCTTTTTTCCTGTATTATATATATCCTACACAATCTTTCTTTTATATATTACTATCAGAATGGGTTCTAAGGAGAGTTTGGTAATTTTATAGTTGAATTCATGAGTCAAATGAAGCTAGACCACCATGGAAAACCTGGAGCTACTGATTCTGTGAATTTGGTGATCATCTTATTGTGCAAATGAAGTATGGGATCGTTTATCGATGCATATATGTGCCTGGTCCTACATTGTAGATGATTGACTAACTGACCTGTACTTTATCCTGTTGATTGTGCACTACCGTGACTTTCAGTATTCGAGGGATGTGCTTGTAACTTAGATTTCATATGAACTAGCCCGCATACATTCCATAACATATAGATCGCAGGCATCATATTCCAGGTGGGTGAAATGAAATCTCCATAAACTGAATTTAAGTCCGTTTTAAAAATAAAATAATGATGTGAATCAAAAGCTGAACCGAATTGTTGAATATTGTTTGTATAGCTAAACAGAAGAGTCCAGGTTCCCGGTAAGTGATTACGTAGACTCTCGTACTATCGCACAACGGAAGGCTTAAGAAATCAAAAACCATCGAGAATTACAACTTTACGTATGCCCCATACTTTTGGATTGGACTTCATAGCTAGTGAAAAAAGGTCACTTAAAGTAACTTTTATTCTATTTATGCTCGTCTGAAACACTCGTATGACTTTTCAGTCTGTCATAAATCAACAAAGAACTTGCCACAAGTGTGTCAGCTTGAATCGCCAAATCACGTGCGTAACAAGACGAAACTAATAATATGAATACCAAGAGTCGAAACAGTAACGATATAAATGATTACGATAAACATTAAAGCTGAGAATGTGATTTGGGGAAACAAAATAAAAGGATGTTTATGAAGGAATACTAAAACTGAAAATCTACCGGAAGGCAAAAGATGAATGGATTTTCCAATATGTGAATGAGTTCGGGTTATGTCACTCGAAATTTGCAACCAGTAGTCACAATAATCCCGCACACCCCAACCAATCAATGATTTCATGGACTAATATTAAGTCACAGTTCGACTACCTCTTCTCTAAGTTACTTTTACTTCCGCCAACATTGCGCATAGGGGAAAATAGCCGTTGGCCATAAATAGTAAATGCGAAATCTGCAATACTGTGAGACCAAATCAACGAAACATCGTGACTGACCTCGGTGTAGCTTACTCCGTCGTCTCAAGAAACGAAAGCGATGCTTAGAACATACCTATGGTTCAAAACCCACAATTAACGCATACCTACTTTGATAGATCACATTTCTTGTCCATAAAATAGTACAAAGATGTGTTGTGCAGTAAACTCGTCTTTCGGTTGAGGGATGTTCAATTCGCTTGGACCACAAGTAAAATTAGTAAAAGCCAAGTGTGCCTCCTGAGTTCGTGCTCAGATTCTACCAGACACCAACTCACTAAGGATGGTAATTTCTCCGGGTCAAGCAAAGCGGTGAAGACAGCCAACTACTCCACTTCATGTATCTGTCTGTCACAAATGTAATTCCCCATATGCACGTACTGAAGGCGCAACCACTGCAGATTTCGTCTGGTTAAAAGAGGTTGTGCAAATTTTTAGCAATGACAGTTCTTCGTTTTCTACAGAGGAAATAATTCCATTTAGTGGCTGGAATCGTGCAACGATCACTATCATCAAATTAATGTAAGCATTGGCGACTTTATGAAGGCATAGATCTCACTACTAGAAACTTAAGTTCTTAGTGCTCTGAAACTAAATACTATAACTTATACTCCATTTGAGATTCACGGTTCTTACTAAAGCTACTCAAGGAAACGAAACAATTACATAAAGCGAACTTTATTGCATTGGTGTTAGTAAAGTGATACAGATGGTTGGGATACCAAGTAACTGGAATTCAAAAATATATTGGCTAATTACATATACACTACTTGAGTTGGACGTTAAAATACTTCATACACTAGCAAAAGAACCCTTTTGGCACATCTGAAAACAAGGCATCCCAATAAGAAAGTGGTTCAATGCTATAGTGCTTTTAGATTCGGTTTTTAGGACGTACGAGAAATATCGGTTACTTATATTACGTCTTATGATCTAACACATGAATTTATTTCTATTTCGTAAATGCGGGCAACCCGTAATCCCAAATAATTAGAGGTTATTAAAGCAAATAACTAGGAACAACACATGCATTTCTATATAAATCGTTAAGTGAGTTCACAACAAACTTGGTGACTATTGAAATCAACATAACAAGCAAGTGATGAGACTGAAAAATCTACGAGTCGAATTAGCTAATCTGCTGACTTAGGAATTGGAGATGTGGCGCGCGGTGTATAGTTTATAGTTTTCGAAAAGTGATCCGTAAAGTAAGTTTTACCATCACCCCAATGTAGCTTCTGGTAGAATCAAGATTAAATAAACAAAGTGAACTACCCTTATCTCTCTAGGGTAAACAGAAATAAATGGCTTATTTTCTTTCATTTCTTCTTCATGGTGATGCTCATTTTTAAAGGCAAAATGAACTGCTAAAATTCCAACTGGTGCCCCAAGTATGAGCAGTGTTTTGTGAAATAGTCTAACACCTTTAGATACATTGAATTAACGTTTTAACTAGCTCACCTGGCCCTTCTCTAGGATGCGTGAAACCCCACAACCCATAACTTCTACGAGAGACTACAGAAAGACCGCTGACTTTGAGCATTAGTAAAGCACAAGTTCATATACTCGCGCCAGACGTAGCTCAGCCTTCGTCTTTTGGAGTAAGTACAGGTCAATGGACCTATATTTATCCTTGCAATTTGTCGTATTGTGGGGATACAACCTCTCTTTGAATCTGTCAATCAAAAGTGCTGATATTGTTTTCTGATAGATAATTCCAGTGACTAACTCTTAGATGAAAGAAACGGAAAACAGGTTCGGGTTCAGATTTATTTGGTAAGGACAGAAGGCCTACGGCTTGTATCAGTCCTTTTCTAGCAAGCTTTCATGAGTGTTTCGTCTTCTCTTAAGCGAGTCATTTTAAGGGGTGGGTACGGTTTCTTTGGGGTAGTAGACCGTGGTCTTGAGATCATGACTCACTGTCAGTCCAAGATCATTGTGAGATCGGACTACGGTCACAGACTCTCCTCGTTGTTGTACCTATCTACCTTTCTATCTCCACTGTACATATCAACTAGCTTGGTCGCGGTGATAAGTATCGGCCTTTTTTGATGAGCTAATCAGAATATCTCATTCTACCTGAAATGAGCATGCGTATGCGTCTCCTGTTATTATTTGACAGATTTTTACATCATCACATCAGTTTTTGATTACTTACGCCTGTTACCCCAATAGAGCAAAGGCCGCTGAACAGCATTCTCCAACCCACTCTGCCCTGGACCTTCCTTTCTAACTCTATTCAACTTCTATTCATTCTTATCATGTCTGTCTCCATTTCTCGGCGTAATGTGTTCTTTGGTCCTCCTCTTCTGCTTTGGCCTTCAGCATTCCATGAGAAGGTTTGCCTTGTGACGCAGTCGGGTGATTTCCTCAATGTGTGTCCCATCCACTTCCAGCGCTTCTTCCTGATTTCTTCCTCTGCTGTAATCTGGTTTGTTGTCTCCCATAGTAACTTGTTGCTGATATTGTCTGGCCAACGGATCCGAAGTATCTTGCGTAGACAACTTTTAATAAACACTTGTATCTTCTGGATGATGGCTTTCGTAGTTCACCAAGTTTCCGCCCCATACGGTAGAATTGTCTTGACATTTGTATTGAAAATTCTGATCTTGGTGTTGGTTGACAATTGTTTCGAGTTCCAGATGTTCTCTAGTTGTAAATATTCTGCTCTCGCTTCGCCTATCCGCGCCATCACATCTGCATCAGATCCATCGTGTTCATCAATGATGTGGCCCAGATATGTAAAGGTTTCCACATCTTCCAAAGCTTCTCCGTTAAGTGTAATTTGATTGGTGCATGCTGCATTGTATCGGAGAGTCAATAAGTGATTTGATGACAGATGTTGTTTTATCGAGTAAAATAAAAGCAAAAACTGTACTTAAGGTAAGAGTGAAAGTCCAAAAATGTAGTTCATTAATAATGATAGTAACGATAATAATAGTTTTATGGAAATCCAAGGGGCTGGAAAATGTTTACAAGCAGAATAAAGACGCTAACAAATACATACAAAGCAAAAAATAAAATCAACATTTTCAGCACTCAAATAATAATAATAATAATAATATATTTCTGCATTAGCAGGTACACGCCATTTTTACAGGCATGATCTACAATTTACAACATATACTGGTTCACAGTATGCATCCCAAGCAAGCTTGTTTAGTAATTATAATCTATAAAAGTTGATAGCAGTTCATTCGTTCAGATATAATGTGTTTTCATAAGAATAGTTTCCAAAGGGCCATAGCGTCCACGTTATATACCAGATCCAATCTCGACAAAAAGTGTGATAGGGTTTCGGTAGTTCTAAGTATTTATGTAATGCAGCTTTTTAAGTTTATAGTTGTTATAAAGTAGGCTTGTGGAGCGCCTGGTTCGAGCTATGACCTTGGGAAAGCGCGTTCGTCAAGCTTGTTCCAGATGTCAGAAGTTACATAGCTTCACCCTCAGAGCAAGATTCTGAAGAGAAAAAAAATAAAAAAATAATGGGAGGCAGATTGTGCTAATGAACTGAGACAGTAGTACTACAAATACTATCATCGATAAGATTAGTAAAGAACATTTGCCTAAAATCGGCATTAGGAGTACCGGGTTGTTAAAAGCAGGATCCAGCTAAAATTCTTCCGGTTCTTCACCTTCGGGAGCAGCGAAACCATCTTCAGTTGCGTAAAGGATTTCAAAGATACTCTTAGTCAAGTCTACTTTTCTGTTTTTCTGACAAATTATTTCAATGCTGCGTAGCTTGTTGAAGTAGAAATCCTTTTCACGAAGTAGACCTTCAATAGTAGTCTTGTTTTGTTCAGCCTCTAATGTAAGCTGATCGAATTGTTGCTTCAGGATGGCCACTTCTGCATTATCTCCAGCAGAATAATGATTATTATTAGTAGGAGTTCCTGAAACGCCAGACTGACTGGTGCGCAAAGTTGTAACTACTTGCTTCTGACTTGTGGGTTTAGCATTTGATGAGAAGCTATTGCGTGGCTGATCGAGTTGAGACTTGTTTGGAGTTTTCCCACTGCCAATAATTTTCCCACCTCCCCTAGCTGTTAAGGCATCATAAAGATGACCATCATAGTTTACGTCGAAAAATCGTTTAAACCATTGTAGAAATTCAAAATTATCTTGGAACTTTCCTTTTACTAACTTTTCGATTGGAACCTCTTTATCTACGCCATGTTTTTTAAAAAGAGCTTGTAATACTTTGAAGTTATTAATGTACTCACGCTCCAACTTTGTGTTAAATTTGACTTTCTTAAACAACAACGTCCCTGGGAAGAGCATATCCACCAGCTGACAATAAGCTGCTCCACTGCATAACTCCTCTACTTTACCGTAGCTGCTGTTAAGACAGTGATTAACCCATTGAATTATTTCATTTCTGCTTAAATTGTCAGTCATTTGACTGGTGCTGTGGACATTGACTGCTTGCGGGATGCCCGCCATGACCTGCAGAAATCTTACGATCTCAAGAATCCGATTTAGAAAGACCGCTTGGACTACCCAGTCTTGCTTTTCCCTTTGTTTATATTGAGACCTACTGCTGCTGAGGCTGATGCTACACTGGTCGTTTTCTCCTGCATTTGTTGTTGAGTGTGTGATAGAAGAGCCAGATCATATGAGAAGTCTAGATCGTCCAGCTGCATCCTGCCTGTCCACTGTATCCCGTGCATTCCTCCAGATGTTGACGTCTTCATGATCCAGTCGATCACCAGGAGAAAGAGAAAGTGTGAGAGTAAGCAACCTTGACTGACACCGGTCTTTACCTCAACCGAGTCAGTGAGTTGTCCTCCGTGGACGATTTGACAGTTTAATCCATCATAGGAGTTCCGTATGATATTGACTATCTTCTCAGGCACGCCGTAGTGTCAAAGAAGCCTCCATAGTGGTGTCCTGTCCACGCTATCAAGTGCTTTCTCGTAGTCAATTAAATTGGTGTAGAGTGATGAATTCCATTAAATTGATTGTTCCACAATGATACGTAGAGTTGCGATTTGATCTGTGCACGATCGGTCGTTACTGAATGCAGCCTGTCGGTCTGGAAGTTGGGTGTCTACGGAGTCCTTCAATCTGTTTAACAACACCCTGTTGAAGACATTTACTGGTATAGAGAGAACAGTGATGATCCTGTAGTTATCACACTTTTTGAGGTGGCCTTTCTTCGGCATATAGATCTGGTGTCCTTCTTTCCAGTCTGTTGGTACTTGTTCTTCATCCCAAATCTTACTGAAGAGGATGTGGAGTATCTTTGCAGTTGCTGCTACATCTGCTTTCAGTGCCTCTGCTGGAATGTTGTCTGGTCCTGTCGCTTTGCCACTCTTGATTTGACTGACGGCCATGCTGGTCTCTTCAATTGTTGGTGGGCCAACATCTATGGGGATGTCCGTGGGTGCTACTTCGATGTTGAGTTGGTTCAGTGGAACTGGTCGATTCAAGAGTTCTTTGAAGTGTTCTACCCACCTGTTTCGTTGTTCTTCAATGTCGGTGATTACTTTGCCTTCCTTGCTCTTCACTGGTCGTTCTGGTTTACGGTAATTTCCAGCGAGTTTATTGTTGTGTCATACAGTTGTCTCATGCTTCCTTCTCTTGCAGCCTTTCCTACCGTCATTTCTAAGTCTTCCACATATTTACGTTTGTCGACTCTGATGCTCCTCTGCGCTTGTTTGTTTATTTCTGTGTATTCGGCTTGCGTCTTGGCTTTTTCTGCTCTTGTTCGACTGATATTGATTGCTATCTTCTTGTTCCACTTCTCTTCAATCTTATCCAGTGTATCACCAGTGATCCATTCCTTGTGGTGGTGATTTTCGTTGCTCAGAACCTCCTGACATGTTGAAGTGATTGCCTCTTTGATCTCTTTCCAATTTTTCTTCATAGTGCTTCACTCTATATTGAGTAGATCATGAAAGGCCTGTAACTTATTGCTGAGGGCTATCTTGGCTTTGTTGAGTTTGTCAGCATCCCGAAGAAAGGCCGTATTAAACTATTATGATGTTGTCCGCTCCGTTGTCCAGTGCTCCTTAAGCTTTAATTTCATCTTGGTGACCAGCAAATAATGATCTGATGCTATATCAGCACCTCTCATGGTTCTCACATTATCCATTATCCTCCTGAAATTTTTGTTGACACAGATATGGTCTATTCGTTTCTGCATAGTGTGATTCGATGTGATCAAAGGCGAAAGCCTACTACGTGTGCATATTTTCCTCTTTCTTTGTTCCGTGACCTACTGAATACTTTTTTCGACTCATTGTGATCGAGCTGACATAAAACGAGGAGATAAAAAAGTTAGCAGCAAGACGAAAGGCTTCGGCTGTCTATTCTCCACATATGTGAATACCAGCTGATCATAACAGAACCCAACATTTTTCAAACACAAAAAACTAACGGTTGTCATTTATTATTATTAATGGCTTTATTCAATATTATAATCTGCAATAAGCTAAGAGTAAAATAATGAGGACTGACAGACAGATAAAGTTGAATGCAGCCAGAAGCAGGTGAATCTAAGAACATAAGACCGAACATTTAGCGAAACGGTTGTTCATCGAGTGGGCTGTGTATAGGATCTTCTTCAATGCTTGATCGAATACATTCCTTCACTGTTATGTATGAAACCTAACAAAGTCAAAATCAGTTTTTAGATAATAGGTTATTTTAAGGAGCGACTTACCACGACACAACAAACTGCAGTTTATTTCAGTTGTCTAATAAATTAATAATAATAATAATGATAGTAATAATAACTCTCAAATAACAGTTTGTTATATGAGGCATGACAGTTTTCAGGCAAGATCAGATTGTTGCAAAAGTTACAATGTTTACTGTAGTAAATTAGTCAAGCAGGTTGATGTTTTGTAAGATATGAATGTAGTTGGTTTTAGTAAGAAACGTACTGCCAATATCACAATTGGAGCGTTTTATAATAATGGTAATAATATATTCTGAAAATAATAATTACAGAATTCACACTAGTTTACGGGCATGATCAATTTGACATGAATCGCAACATTTGATGTAGAGAACAAACATCTGATATAAGATTGTTTTATGTTTGCTGGTTCACTAATTGTTAAGTAGTTTATTTAAGACATGTATCACGGCAATCCAATGCATCAACAGGGAACTTTCAAATTTTTCTTCAGTGGATAGCCTGATGATTTATGAACGGTGTTATTTAAGGTTATTTCCAGTGCCAGAACGAGTTATTGATAATCATCTACAACTAGAGAAAGTAACATTAAAGCAGAGAGCACGGAACAACAAAACAATGATTACCAAAATACGTCGGTCAGGTTTACCACTGTTCATGTTAGATATTGTTCAAGCGAGTTAAGGTTGCTGGTGACAGTTTTAATGTAAAGTGACAGCAAGTAAATGGTTAAACATTTAAATTTCCTATAATCTCATTTGTGGAGTAAGGTACACTTACAGGCGCTAGAACATTTAATGCATTTTGAGAGGAGCAGTGTGCATCAATGCAGCAAACAATGGGATAGACTTTATCGTACGGATAAATTGTGGGAGATTATCCTAGGGTCCAGAAATTTTACTGGTAAAGTAATTCATATGTTATGGTTTCCCAGATTTTATGATGTTACATATATCGTTTATATACAGTAGAAACAAAAGTGGGCCTAATACACCTCCCTGGATAACGCCACTAGTTATTGGTCTAGGTAATGAGAGACAGTCGTCGTACTTTACCATTTGTGTACGTCCCTTTAAAAATGAAACAAACCATGAATAGAGTGGGTTGTTGATTCCGAAGGACCGTAGTTTGGCTAGAAGCCTTTTGTATGGAACCTTATCAAAAGCTTTCTTGAAGTCTAAAAATACGTCTGATACAAGGAGTCCATTGTCTCGTTTCAGAGTTATATCATTCATGTAGTCCACTAGGCATGTATAAATAATAATAATAATTTATTCTCAAATAACAAATTGTTACATGAGGCATGCCGGTTTACAGGCAAGATCAATTTGTTACAGAAGTTACAATTTTCATTGTAGAAAATAACTCAGCTGGGTTGATATTTCATAAGATATGAATGTAAATGGATTTCGTAAGAAACATATCAATACCACACTTGACGCACTTTATGGAGGTAGCGTTGCAACATACAACTGATGGTCGAGAATAGATACATGCGAAGTTGGGGGCTTTTAGAAGTTTCGAACTTATATCCATCAGGAATATCTGAGGCTTTAATAACGGTGTAGGACGAAGTCACCCGTGCCATATCTGTTTTCGGTGGAATATCTCCAGGGGGCTGAAGAAGGTGTAAGAAAAAGAAAGGACGAAAAGCAGAGCACACAATATGCATGGAGGAATAGTCAAGGTATCACCATTTAGTCTATTTGTCTGTTACTGAAGTCCTTATTAGGTAAGAGTATACTAATGTGTTAAAGAAAAATAAATGTGAGCAAAGTATGAGTGGACAAAAAACTGTATAAATGAAGGTAGTTCAGAAGGAAGTATGGAATTATGTGTAATTATAAAATAAAGTTCTGAAAACAGTATTCCGATGCAAGTGGCTGTTTCCTTTTTTTCGAAGCTGTTTGAACTCTCTTTTTTGTATTTAAATTTTATAGGGTATGGAGTGTGCTTCATTTTTGGCCAATTGTCTAGTTTGCTTGTAATAGGATTACTCGGTAGAAAGTGGAACCAATTCAGCTTTTTTTAACATGATTTAAAGTGGTATTTTTCATGAATAATTTCACATCAATACCGTTGGTTCGTGACATTCCACTAGACATAAGGAGCCGTAATTAATATGTTCTGTCCCACAGACACGGGTGGATTGAAGTTATCTTCCCACCATCATGTTTGCTGGTCGGTAACGCCGCCCTGTCATCATTAATTGCAAAGGATGAACAAATATAGATTTTTATGTTTTATATATGTGGTGAAGATAAAATAAATCTGACAAGTTAGTTTATTTAACGGTAATTTTTGTTTTAGTGATGGTAATGTAAATCCATATTTAGGTTAAGGCAGCGGCCAATGTGGATAAATCCACTTTTGTCAATATTAAGTGGCACAGTCCACGAAACAGTCGATTCGTACAACTTGTTTCTTTATTCTCGAATTACAGCTGAAATATAGCTCTTTTTGACAGGAGATGAGAATGAAGAAACCACATTTAGATCATCGGCAAAAGGAAAAGGTTCACCATATTGAAAGAGGGAACATACGTCATTGATAAACAGGAGAATTAATAATGGACCTATTACACTTCCTTGTATAACCCCACTGGTTACATTCACAGGTTTGGATTAGCAAGATCCAAAGCGGACAATTTGGCCACGTTCTCCTAAAAATACTTTGAGCCCAGATAAAAGCGGATTCTGTATTCCAAATAAAGATAGCTTTAGAAGAAGTTTGTGCGAGACGCTGTTGAAAGCCTTATTAAAGTCGAATTACAGAGTTATCACTGACTGATCAACAT